TTGTCTTCTCTTCTTCCCAATCCTTTATACAAGTCAGTCTCTGCCACGCCTACTCAGTCTCTTCCAGACGCTTCTCAACTTCAAGCACACCTTGGTAGTCATTGGCTCCGCCGTCACTACGTCCGCTTCTTCTTAAAGCTTGTTCCGAGCCTCAACCTGATTCAAAGTCGCTTTCTTCACGCCCACGCTTCTTGGCCTTACATCCCACGCCGCACGGCAGACAGTCAATATCAAACAAACGTTTCCAGGTTCGTTCCGAACATGCCCCCTGCCACTGCTTACTCATGTTTCGCCCATGGTCATCTTCTGACAAGTCTGATTTCAGTTCTCACATCAGCAAGATGGCGTCTAGTGCAGTTGGTCCGGTCGTGGGTGCTACCACAGCAGCCGCTGGCCATCACATTCACCACCTCGGCCGCAACGCCCCAGTCGCGGACGTTCCTGTCATCCCCACTGGCTTTCCCGAGACAGTGGTTAACGAATCAGCCTGGACCGGCCCGCAATTTACCAAACAGTCGCAGTACACTTACAGCCTCACTAATGCGGACCTTGACGAGCTCGCTGCCGCGCTCAAGCACTTCAAGAGTATGCTAAAGCCTGCCCACCTCATGCTACTATTGTCCGAAGGCTGACTTTTGGTGCCAATTTAGCTCTGGGCCTAGACGGCGATCTCGTCAGCCGGGACAACTTCCCTCTGCCGACCCTCGGTGCCACTTTGGATGGCATTGCCCGTGACATTCATCAAGGCAAGGGCTTCGCTGTAGTCCGCGGCATTGACCCCCAGCAGCACTCTGTCGAAGATCTTACGATCCTGTACCTTGGCGTTCAGGGATATGTTGCCAACCAACGTGCTCGCCAGGACAAGAAGGGAAATATGCTTGGTACGTTGACATTGTGCCGTTCTTCGTCTTTTGGACAGTCTTTGCTAACCATAATCGACAACAACAGTCCACATCGTTGCCGACAACACAAGCCAGGCTAAGGCGGATCACCATCGCCATTCTACTTCAGCCATTGTAAGCTTTACCACCATTGTCTTTCCTTGCAAACTACTGACAAGGCCATCCCTAGACCTTCCACAATGAGGAGTCCGGCGATATCATCAGCTGGTTGACCCGCAACACTGCTGCTGCCGGTGGCAAGTGCATCATTGCCTCTGCTCACACCGTCTACAATGTTCTTGCAGCCACTCGACCTGACATCATTCGCACCTTGTCCCGTTCTGACTGGCCCTTTGCCCTGTAAGTAAACAGTCCCAGCTGCCCACCAGTTCTCCGTTGTTTCCGAGCTGTAGCCTGACCAGACCTCAGTCCCAAGTTCCAGTGCCGTCCGATTCTCTTCCATCATGACGGAAAGATCATTATCAACTTTGGTCGCACTCCTTTGATGGGCAACTCAGCTCATCCCAGACCGGTACACTTTCCATCCTTGTCAGCTCGCCAGATTGAGGCTCTTGATGCTGTCGAAGCAATTGCGAAGGCTACTCAGATGGAGATCCAGACTCGTGCTGGCGATATTCACTTCATCAACAACTTGGCCATCCTCCACCGTCGCGAGGCCTTTGTCAACGGCCAAGGTGCTAGCGAGAAGCGTCACCTTGTACGCATGCGCGTGCGCAATGAGCAGCTCGGCTGGTCTATTCCCGATGCCCTCAAGCGCGAGTGGCATGATGCTTTCGACAAGCCTGCCGACCGCGTCTGGCACCTGGAGCCGATGCCTGACGCGTTCTTCCCCCTCAGAAAGTACCCCAACTGACTCTGCACATTCTGGTCTTTGATTTTCTTGCTAGGACGCCTAATGAAGAATCACCAAACAAAGGGAGAAAGAGGCGTCATGGTTGCATTATTTGGACTTGCATGTTTCGAACCCGAGAAACTGGGCTGGGCTTCTTCTTGCGTGGAGTCAATCACCGTATCTTCTTTTGTTCGAGTTTCCTTTCGCAACATCTCACTTTACCCCCCTTGCACCACAAAAGTTTATTGTCGTTTCCTCGTCGTTTACGGTCAGAAAAGCACGGAGTCCATTGGAGTTCACACAGTAGAACCCGGCTGGGAAAAGCATGTATACAATGGTTGGGATGTTGAACCCGGCGTTGTTATTGTATAACCTAATAAACCTTGACCGTCAAGACCTGCCCGGTATGCGAAGCTTGAAATGACTTCGGCAAGCCTGGTTCTAAGACATGTGGCACTGAAATCCCGGCACGTGTCCGGCTGTCAGTGACTTGGCTGAGGATAAGTAACGGCAGCCATTGGTCACACGACCGCGGAGCTGGGAAATCTATGCCCATGCAGTACCGGTCAAACAGCCAACCAATGGCTGAACATATTCCGAGACATCGGTGTACGCCTGTCAACGCGTCCAAAACGGAACCTCATTTCATACTTTCAGCTTCTCGGTCACAAAAGGCCTGGGTTCCTCCCTCGCGGATCTGACGGAGTTGCTCATCGCGAGCTGCGGCAGTTCACAGAGAGATAACATACCTGAGCCAAAGCAGACAATTATCTGCATCAGACTTCAGCATGGACTCCGGTCAGTGCTTTATTGTGAGATTGCCGCATTTGGTTTCTGTGAAGTTGGTATATCTTGCTTCATTACACTGACGATTGCGGAATCAGGAAAACTGCCCCGTTATGCATGGAAGAACGCCCGCTTGGTCTCTCTGCGGATCCAACATTGCTTCTTCGCCGCCTCTAATGTAGAAAGACGTGCATATGACGGTCCCGTATTCCCAGCCCCAAACGACAGCCCTCTCAGTCTCTGATGGACAACAACTCAGCTGCAAGGAGGAAAAGCAACGATGATGCGAACATACATCAATGTCTGGGATCCTCAACGGTGAGGCCATTGATCTCTGCTTTGCAAAGCAAGTATGGCGTCTTGACCGGCAGACCAGCTGACCGATATCTTAGACGGGCATGGAGTTCGCGATTTGCCATGGCCAGAAAGACCACTCGAGCATCCTGACCTCTAGGGGAGGCGACAGCCGCCTAGGAGGGCCGAGGCCTTTGTCGAGACATGCAAAGAGCCACTAAGCGCTTCTATTGACAGTGTGCCTTTGGTTTTTCCTGCATTTCTATTGCACTTCTCTTAGGGATCGGCAAGCAAGCGAGCGCGTGGCTGCAGCTCGTGGCGGAACGGCAAGCAGCTTTTGACACCTGCAATACGCTGGTATCAGTGTGTATGGGCATGTACAATTTCATCGCCTGCATGGGAATGCCGGATCGCTGGCTACAATCTATGGCCCCGGGTTGGCGCCCAGGGCAGAAGCGGGAGCAAACCTACGGCGAGTTTGCGTTCGCACCCCTACAAGGGAAGGGAGGAGCGAAAAGAAAACGAGGTATGCATGAGAAGTGGGCAGTGAAAGAGGACGCCGCCATGCGGGAACTTTTGGAGTGTTTTCCAGAAATGCATCAGCTCCGTCTCAAGGACCCCTACGCCGGGATGTTTTCTTGCTTTTGCCAATGTCTTCAGTCCGGTCCTAGTCGCCTGGAGGACCTGGGGTTTTACGATGACGCTGACCACCTGGTGATCCTGGGCAGACACGTTGCTTGTCACCAACGAGCAGGATACGTGTTCCATGCAGACGAGACGAGGGTGAAGTATGAGGAGTATCCGCACGAAATTCAAGGGTGCATGTCAAGGAAATTTGATTTTTGCCGGTTGGTTTGCAACAGCCTTGCAGCCATAGCAAGCTTGACGTGATTACCTAATTGGAAATGGTGAGAAATCCGGCGGTGGTCCGAGGTCGGCATTACCGGCTTGTCCTTCGCTAGCAGGTCTTGAGATGGATGTGTGCAGCCAGCGCCCCCGCTTCTTGCGTTTGTACATTTTTTTTTATTTTATTTTGATTTTGTTGCTTCTCTGCCATCCCAGGACTCGATGTTTTCTTTCTTTTCCCCATCAAACCATGGCGGCATAGCCTGTACACGACGGGGAGGTTGTCATCGGCTCCTAGCGTGGGCGATCGATCGGAGGGATAGAAACGGGGCCCATTTTGCGAGAAGAGGGACGCTAAGATGATCCACCTTTGGGAGGAGGAGGAGTCTGGTTCGGAACGCCTAGGAGAAGCGGCGGAGACATTGAAGACACGTACTGTGGAGCACAAGAGCTCCAGTAATAGTTTCTTCTTCTCAACAGCGCGCCAAGACGAGTACGAAGGAGTGGAAGAAGAAAGAAGTGACCATCAGTGACGAATGGGTTGTATGTAAGTGCGGGGGGTTGTCACAAAACCCTAGGCCTAGAATCGACTGGCTGACACCTGCGTGGAATCACTAATCAACTTGGATAAGTCCTGTTTGGGAAGACTATCGTTGAAAGAGCTGCAGGTTGCTACAAGCGCGGACATGAAGGCCCAAGTTAAGTGGACGCACGGTGACTGACGTTGAAAGGTTGGGACAAGGTGCAGTAGGGCTTCCCCGCGATGCTCGCTTCGCGACTTAGGTGTCAGAATCTGTGTAGCTAAAAGATGCGATGGTCGGGGAGCTGGAGCTGGAACTCAGCCGGGAGAAACATGGCCTTGAGGGAAAGAGTTGATTGGGGCGTGGGGGAAGGAGCGGACGATGGCCATGAAGAAGGAAAAAGCAAGCATGAGCGACGGGTGTTGCGATTGCTTGGTGATACTTGTACGGAGTATTAGTTGTGTGGATGGATGGATGGAGATTGCAGCCCGATTGACGTCGGTTCGTCAACGGCTGAAAGTGACCTGGGAATGCGTTGACAGTGATGGGCTACAGAGCTGGCCCGGGGATGCCTCCGCGCATTCGGCGGCAGCAGTTCATTTCAGTCCAGCCTAAGTCAAGGTAAGGGAAGGTAGGAATACCCGCGGACTCTCACGACTGAATTCTAGGGTACCTGAGAGTGCCATGGAAAGTGAAGTCGATGTGTACCTTATCACGTGCTTAGGTAAGTAGGAATCATGTCAGATTGACATTCATCATTCAAGGCCCAAGAGCCATCACTCAGAGACGGGAGTCTTAGGGCACCTACCTTACCTAACTATGTACTTTGTAGCACAGGCCAAGGAGCCATCTGCCGGAGCAGCCAGACCAGGCCGTGTCATTGGCTGTTGGCTGTGCGTCGTCGGGACCGGATCCGCCTTCCCGGTTGAGCTAAGCCGCGAAGGTAAGCTGCCGATGGGGCCACGCATCGTCGAATGAGAAGGCGCCGCTCCCAACGACAGATGCCCCCTAACCGCGAGCCTCCCTACCTTGAGCTCCTCCTGGCCGCCTCAGACGACACCTCCCCATCGCGACGTTATCAAACCTTCTCTTACGGATACCTGACCTTACAGCAAAGAGGCATTGGATGGTCTTGCGCACACGACACACACCTGACCGCCCTTTGTTTGCTTCTTCGCTTTCGCCCGTCCTTCCCGCCCTTCCCGTTCTGCAGAGTTGCCTTTTCCTTCCCATCGCACTGACCATCCAGGTGGCCAATTGGGGAATCACGGACGTTGCTCCCGAGGCCTGGGGATCGACTGCCCGCCGCATGTGTGTCCAAGAAGATCCCTTCTTTCCTGCATCGGCACCCGTTATACCCTACTGCCGCACCTCACAATCGGTCCATCCAACCGCCTTCAGGCGCACACGTTTCACTCTGCATCGTGTCTCGCCTACGCCAACCTCGGTTTGCCCGCCTGATGGCCTGATAGTGCCGCTTTGAGAGCTGCATGTCCATTCTAGGCACCATCCACTTCAAGAAACAAGCGCTCCATACATGGGATTGTACCCCCGAGTGTGAAACGAATCCTGCTTTGACGTACTTTATTCTACTTTGCCTATTCCACGCCCCCCTCTTTTGCCTACCTACCTACCAGGCTACCTTGCCTGCATACGAGCTCTGCGTCCCGTTGGTGTCTCGGTGCAACCTCCGGCAGTTTGTGACTGGACATCGCTAGCTGCAGATTCCCAAGCCAAGGAGTGTTGTGCATCGCCTGCAAGAAAAGCCTTCAGCGGACCGTCAACTCCGAAGGGGGTGACTTGTACCTCCTTTCAAGCGCCGGATCCCTCCCGCCACACTCTCCCTCTCTCATCGAGCACTGCGCAAATTTCAGTCCTCCACCGGGACTTCTTGCAGCAACTATGGCACCCCGCCAGGGTGGCTATCTTCGCGTTCCGGGACAGGAAGACGACTTTTCCCGGAAGCAGCCTCGTCGCAGCCGTTCCGGCTCCTCCGGCCGGAGGCAAAAAGCTCTGCCCAGCGAGAAGCCTCTCCCGGCCCTCCCGCCGCCGACGCCGACGTCCGGCGCCGCGTTTGTCGACATTGATCTACACGGTGACGGCTCTCACAACTCGCCCAGTAACCGCCGTCGCGCCACCATTGCTATCGCGCTCGCCCTGGCCTTTGTGGGATGTATGCTCGCATTTGTGGTCCTGGGCTTCGCCTGGGACAATGGCGGCGTGAGACGGGGCCCGAACGCATTGGACGGCTTGAAGAACCTCGAGAACTGCCCGTGTAGGCCGGACGATGACGTGCCACAGTACTTCAGGACGAGTCCGGAGTTGTGGGCGGGCCCGACGGCGACTGGCAAACCTGCCTTTATGGCGCAGACGAGAGTAATTCCGACGGGAACCTTTGTGCCGAATGCGCCGCTGCAGACGGATATCCCTATCGAAGGAATGGGAAGCAAGAATGAGAGCATTTTCAACATGATGGGGTAAGTAGCGTGCCATGTACACGGATAGAGGGGGAAAAGTGATTGCTCAACTCTCGGGCGTTTAGGTATCTTACCCCGTATCAACCGAGTCCTGGCTTTGGTGTTGAGGAATACGCGCTGCCGGAAGGAGCCGATATCGTTCAAGTTCAGGTAAGCCACATCAGAGCTAGCTAAGGCTGGATTTCAGTGGCTGCTTCTTAGGTCGCGATGGAAAATGCTTATTTTGACTAACCTGTGATAGATGCTCTCTCGCCACGGATCTAGATATCCCACCACAGGATCCAATGTAGCCGATTTTGGGCAGCGCATCGCAAAGGCTGGCAAGAAATTGAACGCCAAGGGTGCTTTGAAGTTCTTGAATAACTGGAAGTATCAACTGGGACACGAGATATTGGTTCCAAAGGGTTCGTTTTACTGCTATCTTGTCTGTGTCCTAAATCGCTGACCTTATTATCCGCAGGGCGTCAAGAGCTGTTCGACTCTGGTGGGTGGCCTGATACTAAACAGTTCACGCAAAGGCTTGGAGCATCAAGACTAATGAGCGATTAGGCATTTTGCACTCGTACATGTATTCGTCGCTGTATAATCCGAACAGCAAGATCATTGTGCGAACAACTGTACGTCAGGAGTACTTACTACTAGCTTTTGAGGATTCGTGACTAACACGCTTGCAGACGCAAGACAGGATGCTGAAGTCGGCCGAGTATTGGCTGGCGGGTTTCTTCGGTCTCGAATGGTATAGTGCTCCACTTGACGCGTGTGAAGCTTACAGCTGACTTGGAAATCAGGACAAACAATGCCACCATCGAGGTCATCATTGAGCAAGACAGAGCGAACAACTCGCTCGCCGGCTACTTGAACTGCCCCAACGCTCGCAAGCAGAATGGAGGCGACGATGCTGCCAAGGTTTGGATCTCAAACTACCTCGCCAATGGTGAGCCTGCCTGCTGCTATTCTACGTAGTCGTACATGCCGCTGACAACTCTTTCCAGCTACTGCCCGGCTGAAAGATCTGGCGGAGGGATATGACTGGACCATCGATGATACCTATGCGGCTCAGACCATGTGTCCTTACGAGACGGTGAGAACTTCTGTCGGATAGGAGACTGTATTGCCTTTGACTGACCTTGAACCAGGTGGCATACGGCTTTAGCGTCTTCTGCGACTTGTTCACCTACGAGGAATGGGTCGGCTTCTCCTACTCCGTCGACCTCATGTTTGCCGGCAATAACGCATTCCAGAACCCCACAGGTGTATGTAAAGATGTCATACTGCGCTGAATGACCCGATATTGACAAGGCTGCAGCGCGCTGTTGGTATCGGCTATCAACAAGAGGTCATTGCGCGCCTCCAGAACCATACTCTGGGCTACTCTGGGTCTCAGATCAACGTGACACTCGACAACAACACAGTCACGTTCCCGCTCAACCAAAGCCTCTACTTTGACTTCTCCCACGACACAAACATCGCCTCCATCCTAACGGCGTTTGGCCTGAAGCAATTCGCTCAACTCCTCCAGCCAACGCAGTACCCGGGCCCGCACAACTTCACCGTCTCCCACATCACGCCCTTTGGCGCCCGGCTCGACATTGAGGTCATTAAGACGCCCAAGCCGTTCAAGGCCGACCGTTCCGGGTACGAGAAGGACGGCGGGGAGACCAGGTACATTCACTTTGTCCTGAACCAGAGGACCGTGCCGCTGGGCTGGAGTTTCCCCGATTGCGATGTCACGAGATTAGACGGTTGGTGCGAGCTCGAGACGTTTTTGAAAGTGCAGCAGGGCATGCCTGAGCTGGCGGCCTATGATAGAGCTTGCCATGGAGACATTGAGACCGTTCCGTACGGGACCGTGTATGATGGTAGACCCTTGTGAGAGGGTAGGTGCTTGTGACGATAGTGTTGTTGGCTCACGGTTGTGTACATATCTCATACTCTTTTCGATCGAAGGTGAAATTACGCCTGTTTACTGTAGGGTCTGTAGGCGGTGTTTGAATAATCTTTTTGGGTGACTTTTGCAAATTCCGTGCATTTCAGTATTTTCAGCGGTGGAAATCAATGCAGAGGCCCCCATGGACTCGCGCACAGTATCCTGGTGCCGAGAACATATCTCGAATGGTATCTTCAGGTTATCAAGATTACATCGTTGTTTGTACCCAAGGCTCTGTCTCTTCAGAGCAGATTACGGTCATGGGTTGACGGAGTCGTCGTAACATGTGAGGGGGATAAATCAGTCTTGTAACCCTCGGCAACTTTTACCCTCTCCGGTACTTGGAGGCATATTAACCGGCACCACTTTAGATCCGGTTTTTGAAATGGCCCCATTGACGGTCGACTACAGAACTGCGCATGGCTATGAGATCCGCGGATGCTCATGTCGTTCGTCCTCTGGGTAAAGACGAGCAAAACAGCTGTCTATGTCTCAATCCACATCCACACCCATACCCTCGTATGCAGAACTGAGCACCTTTTCAATGAAAGACAAGAAACCAAAGCGCCTTTCTGATTTAAAACTACATTGTGGTGCTAGACGGAATAATGTTCATCGCGTCAGCCGTAATGACGATCCTGTCGTCTCTGCCATCATGTATGCCCTACCCTCTTCGAACAACCACATACGACCATACCCATTGGAAAACTCGGGATCCCGTCCGCTCTCCCATAGATAAGCCAATGAGGGCTGGATTAGTAGTTGGGTCGGTGACGACCAGCGAATACCTGGTGTTGTATGTCTTTTGATTATTTTTGGTGTTTTGGTGGGGATGTGTTGATGTAGGTGGGTTCTGGATGCGTGGTGTTGATGTGATGTTGGTTTTGAGGATTGGGGCAACGTCGGACGAGGGAGGACGAGAAAAAAGTTGTTGTAGGCTGTGGGGTCGTATTGTTTAATTAGATTGTGACGGAGAATGTATTCTTTCATGAGGATTGTGGTTTGAGACGTAAGGGCGGCGCCGGTTTAGCTTGAAGTGTGTAACTTCGTGATAGTGGCAATATAGGGGTTTTATCTGCCGACACCGGGGAACAAGATACATAATCAGGAAGCATCCGAAGGAAACATCTTATTACCCTGCGAATTCAACGGGTCCTGAGACAGAATCAAATCAAAGAGAGATGTATATGCTAGTATCCTTTGCTGGGGGGTAATTACGTACAGATAAATTCTTCAAGGCTGAGCCTTTCTACGTACTTACATGCCTAGAACATGCCTAGAACATGCCTAGAACAAAATGAACAATAAATCACTTAAATGAGACTCGGATGGCTGGATCGTAGTATTTTCAATTCTTATAACATTAACTGCAAGACGCAAACTTGCTCTCCCCACAGGGTGATATATCATCATCAACATCTTCTGTGTGCCTAATTTCGTATCTTGCACCGACTTTTTCTTTCTTCAATAAAATTTCCCACCTAGGGTATCAAAAAATCGCTATACATCTGTTTCCATCCCTAAACGTTCACATTTCTCTCAATCACTAGAGGTGCTTGGACTCTTGGGGTCCTCTGCATCCTCTTCAACAATACCCCTGCCCTCGCTGTTGGCGATGGCGCTCTGCAGCGCGCTCGTTAGATCGACGTGGAACAGCGGCCTGTTGAGGCCGTGGACAACGACACCCTTCCTCCTGGGGCCGCCACCAACGTTGCCGGCGCCGGCGCCGCCCTTCCTCGAGCCCGACGAGACGGGGTCGATTTGGTCGTATGCGCCGTCCTTGCCCAAGGCCTCCTCGTCAATAGTCCTCGCGCCCCGCGCGTGCGTCGAGAGCTCCTTCTCGTTGGCCTCCTTCTCCGCAACCGCGGCCGCCGACTCGGAGCCGCCAATCTCGGCGACGCTGAAGATGGACTTCCACTGGTGCTGTGTGCCGTCGCTGCGGTCGACGGGGTAGCCGAAGCCGGCGGCGACGAGAGCACGCTTGGTCCACCGGTTGTTGATGCAGGCAATGTGCCAGTTCACCTTGTCGGGGGATGCGTAGCGGTCGAGTTGGTTGCGGACGTCAATGAGCTGCTGGATGGACGTCAGGTCGACGTGGTTGACGGAGCTGAAGTCGAGGATGATGGCCTTGAGCGTCGGTCTGTTCTCCTCCTCGTGCATCTGGGCCTGCGCCTTCTTGGCCTTGCGGGACGGGCCCGGGTCGTTCCAGGGGCGGTCGCCCAGTCTTCCGTACGACTGCATGTTTGTGCGGCGCGTCCGGGCAAAGATGTAATCGGTGAGGTACTCGAGGGAGTGGCTGGCGTTCGGGTAATTGAAGCCCTCGGAGAAGCGGTAGATGAAGATGCCGGGGTACGGCTCGTCCAAGGAGACCTCGGGGTTGGATCCGTCGCCGTGGTCGATGGGCAGGAAAACGTTGCGGGCGGCGTTATCGCTGGCGTTGAAGGTGCCGTACTCACCAATGACTTGTCGGTGGTCTTCGCCAATGACGTGGTCGCCGACGACGGAGTGAATCTTGACCTTTCCGAGGAAGCGTCCCTGGCTACGGAGAATGCGCCAGAGGAGCAGCACGGCAGAGATGCAGATTGTGGCGTAAATTCCGTTCTCAATGGAAGAGAAAATGGTGACAAAGACACCGATGAAGAAGATGACGACTTCAAGGGGCGAGACACGCCAGAATTGGTAAACAGTGTTGGGCGGCGTAATAAGATCGCCGACGGCATGGATAATGACTGCAGCCAGTGACGCGCTGGAGATGTAGAAGAACACAGCCGTGAGAGCGTAGATGGCGAGCAAGACAATAAGGCCAGTGATGACACCAGCGAAGGGAGTTCTGACGCCAGCCTTGGACTTGATAGCGGTACGACTGAACGAGCCCGTAGAGGGATACCCGCCAAGGAAAGGTGCGATGACGTTGGTAACACCAATAGCAACGAACTCTTGAGACGGGTTGATGGTGTAGTTGTTGACACGACCGAAAGATTTCGAGATGGCAACGTGCTCAATGACCAACACAATAACGCTGGCAGGCAGGAAAGGCAAGAAAGCGCTGATGAGGTCGGTGTCGACCTTCGGGGCGCCAGCATTCTGGAAACCTGTAACTTTGGTTAGATCACGGTATACTAGCCGAGTGAAAATTGCACTAACCTCTTGGAACTTCTCCCAAGATCTTGAACAGCGGGTTTGACCGTCTGTTCATGTTGACCAGCCAACTGATCATGGTGTAGAGAAGGATGACGAAGACAGTTCGTAAGGTCGAGAGGAAGAAGAAAAGCTTCGACTTCTGAGGATACTTCTTGGCCAGACTAGTGAAGATGAACCGCAAAAGGTAGAGCATGGTGAGGGCAGTCAGGCCCATGGCAGCATCCATCTTTGTCTTGGGGAGGGCCTTGAGGGTGTTGATGAAGACCAGGTAGGTAGCCTCTCTTGTGTTGACACCCTTGATGCCCAACAATGTGACCAATTGGCCAACAGCGATGCTGATGGCAGAACCAGTCATGAAGGCTGACAGAGAGGTCAAAGAGATCAAGTCGACAATCCATCCCATTCGAATCAGGCCAATGAAGAGAATGATGGCGCCGGCAATGATAGCTAGAGCAGACGCAATCTGATGACCTTCGTATTGGGGAAAGTCCGCCTGGACATCGGTAATGAGGTTACCAACGACAGTGGACATAACAGCTACGGGCTATTAGTCAGTTAGTAGAGTATCAATGTGGTTTGGAAGAGGATTTACATACCCCGATGGTGATATCCTTGGATGTAGCGAAGAACCAGTAGATAATGACACCCATGAAGGATGAGTAGAGACCGAACTGAGGATCAAGCTTTGCGAGCAAAGCGTAAGCCATACCCTGGGGTACCACAACAGCACCAACAGTGACACCGGCGACCAAGTCACCAAGGAACCACTGCAGGTTATAGTGACCAATCCAGTTGAGGAAGGGGAAGAGAGAGCGGATGTATGCAAGGACTTCGTGGCCGTCGGGAAGAAGTTCGAGGAGCCACTCAGCCGTTGTTGGCTCCTCCTCAACGAATGTGTCCGAGGACTGGACAGAGAAGACAGACTCGCCGCGCAACATCTCTTCGTTTTCGGGCTTCTCGAGCTTGATGCCCAAGACCTTGGCCAGGCCATGGCCAATCTTGGTGCTTGTGCTCGACATGGTGGTTGATCGGACCGGAAACCGGCTGAGACTCTGAGGAAATACTTGTCGAGCTCTTGACTACAGAGACGAGTAGCACACAGGACCTCGCTCCTTTTTTTGGCGAAGATGTCCCAAGGCTATATAGGAGTCACCGGGGGTGGCCACCGTGCCACACTCCTGGGTCCACGGGGGTCGCCGTGGGATTTGGCGGTCGAGAAAGGGCAGCAGGAATGGGAACCGGGGTGCGTAGTGGGCAGAAGCTAATGGTGCAAACCGTGACTAGAACGCTTCCAGTCCTGGAGGCTCGACGGGGGTGGCGATTTGGGGCAGGAGGTGCGAAATTGTCGCTACTTGACAGCCCTTGCAAAGTTGCGCAATCGGTCAAAGGGGCATTAATTGGTCGAGACAACGATGGCCGACTCAACGATGAGCGAGAGAGTTCCCGACACAGGAAAAACGCCGTAATTTGGCGGCGTGCGAAAATGGCGACAGAAGCGCTTGTGGCTGACAAGAAGGGATGAGAGACAACAACCCTTCACACAATAGTGGCGACAAGATATCTGTATCGTGTGGCCTGAGTGGTCTGGAGCAACTGTTCGGGTTGTGCGACTGAAACAGAAGCTCTTCAAATCTTTCGGAAGCTCTTCGAAGCTCTTCAGAGACTCTCACAAGCTCTTCAAGTTAGGCTGAGGAAGGCAGGCAGACAAGCTTTTAATTGACTTCAGAAACTTCGGTAGTGGAGTGCCAAGGGAGGCTCTTAAGGCATTCTTGCTTGACAAGACGATGGATCTCATGGGCCAAGAG